GGCGCCCTGCTGCGCCCCGCCGCGCCGGGCCAGCGGGGGACCTCCCAACCGGCGCGTTTCCAAGGCGGGAGGGAGGGGGGGAAAAAATCCCAAACACCGAGAACAACCTCCTCTTTTTCATTCTGAAAAAACCTGAAATTTGGATGATTACCAGGATTTCCAGTCTGGCCAGGTTTCTGCTACAGCTGGGCTATCGCTAGGAACACGCATCTGGGGAAGGGTGCGGGGAGGAGCTGTGCTGCGCCCTAACACTTCTCCGCAAACAAATTTCATCTTCTTCTCCAGACCCTGCTGACAGAGCGACCCGCTGCCCCAGGCCCCGAAGCAGCAGTTGCAAGAGCAGGGAACGGCACAGACCTCGCTTCCCGTGGCCGCGCCTGGCGGTTAATCGCGCGGACCCCATGTATTAAAGCGCTTTTATTTCCACGTTGCGCCGATCGCCTTCCCCCCTCCTCCCCGTTACAAGCCTCCTCCTGCAAAAACGCTTCTCGGCTGCGTAAAAACCGCTGCGATCCCCAAGTCCGATCCAAGACGACGAGCGCGAGCCTGCAGAAAACATCCGGCTCCGACCTTCCGCCTCCCGTTTCCGCCTCCCGTTGCACGACCACCCGCTCGTAGGAAGACGTGTCGGACAAGAGGTCGCCCCCCAACCCAAATCCCACGAAATCCCACGCATCTCAGGGTCCGGCCAACCTAAAAACTCCTCCAGATTTTCAGATTTTGACCCAATGCCCGCGGACAGCTACAGAACTACAGCGACCGCTTTCGTTTTCCTCCCAGATGAGCCGAAACCTGCTGGGCACCGAGGAACAGGAAGGGCAGGAGCAGGCAATAACCTACTTTCGTTAGCAACTTGAAATCTGAAACTTGTGTGAAAAAGCAAGCCCGGCCCTGGGCAGGCACCTTACGCTTACAGCCCGGCGGGGGAAGAGGAAAAACGAAACAAAACGGCCCCAAAACAGCGCCCTCGGGTCCCTTTATACACCACCGCCGTCTATCAGCCCGTCAGGCTGGTAGCAGCTGGGCATCGCAGTATTACACCACCTCCACCGCAGCTGAGAAAACACCCGCCCGGGCCGTTTCTCACGTCCTCCCAAGGTATAAAGCGAGCTGCCGGCGAGGCCGGGGGCGCTGGGACGTTTCCCCCCCG